GGAAAAAAAATGAAAAAAAGGAAACGGAGCCATCCTTTGTCAAGACCCAACATATGCTCCCAACATTATTATTACGTAGGCATCAAAAAATTAATATATCTTCTTCCTCTGTGCCTTAGAGCGCCATTGTTGTTTCAAAAATATTAATAACACCTTGGTGAACCAGTGGGTGAAATGTTTGCTCCTTACAATGAACCGACTGACTGCAGGGTTTTCTAACTCTTATTTGAAACACAGTCCTCTGTCGGTATAAATATGAAATAATTTGTCATAAAACATCTATTTTTAAATATATTTTATTATTTTAAGTAGTACTTCTTAAATCTTTACAACAGTTTAAATCTTCAGCTAGTGGTATATAAAAAGAAAAAAAAAATCCAAGATTTTAGGTGGAAAGAGAAAAAAAAAAAAAGCAGAGGGGACAAAAGGGACACCTGGATGAAAAAGAGGTCGAAGCCGGCGCACATCTGGTGAAGGAGACAATTGAGGACAAATACTGAGGAGTGATTTTAAATGCCTCCTGGGCTACAGAGAGAAAGGGTGAGGTAGCGGAGCGGGGGAGAATAAAAGCCGGGACGGGAGAGAAACATCCATGAGGGACGCACACGCGTACACAACAGAGAGCCTCACCGAGACTGAATATTGTATGAGGCGTTCTCATGGGCCACTGCAGAGCGTGCGAGCAGAGAGGGAGAGGTGGACGTATTTGCGGTCACACACACATTAATGAAAACACACACGTAAAGAAAGAGACGGGGCGACACACTTGGAAACACCAACACATGTACGCACACAAACAGAACCAGTGGAGCTTGAGCTGATGTGGCCCAGAGCTGCCCAACGCCCTGCCACGATACAAACACACACATACACACACATGCATGCATACACTTAAGAGCCATCTGCAGTTGGAGATACTGCCTACAGAAAGGCTTCACTGCTGACACTCTGAGACAGGCAGAAAGAGAAGGACAGGAAAAAGGGAGAAATTGTCGTGACCGAGTGAATCAGGAGATTAGGAAGGGAGGGAGGGAGGAGGGCAGGAAGAAGGGAGAAAGAAAGACAGGAAGTGACAGACAGAGATGTAGAAGGAAAAAATGTCGCCCCAAACTATGGCACCTAAGTTTTACCTTCAACCCACTCAAAGGTAAAAGTGCTTCGCTAACACTTTACATGAGGTTTCAGCAGTTTTTGCAGGGAAGCTCTCATTGGATGACTTTCCCCTTGGATGCATTTCGTTTCACCCTTAAAACTGTCCAATAACATGTACGTTTTAACAATGGGGAAAAAAAAAACAACTAAACTGTATGTGACTTCTATAGATAAGCTGATAATTTCTCAGCATGAATCAAAGAATTTGAAATATTTCAGGTATTCGTCTTCCAACAAGAAAAAAGTCTTTAAAAAAATAAGGACAGTCTTTTTAGATCTTATAGTCTGAAACACATCGTGATGTGCACAAAAGAGATTTGTTGGTCAATCTCTCCAGCAGTGAATGGATGATGGATGGGTAGCAGATGCCAGCCAACACAAACTTTCTCACACCAAGCCATCAAATGACAGATTATTTGCTTTTCACTTTATCAATTTTACGCTTTGGTACTTCATGTGGTCTGAAAGGATGTGATCTGTAAAGAGGGTTTGGAACTGGCACATAGTACTAAACAGTCATTAAAACAAAAATGTGCAAAGCCAGAGAAAACTGGTTTCTCTGTTTTATTTCTTTTTAATAAAGTGTCAGAGAAATTATCAAATATTTCACACCCTTGATATACCTTGACATTGGTAATGGACCAATGTCTACGTGGATTTCCCAACTTTAGTTAATAAAAGAAGAAATAATGTGCTGAAGTGCTAAGAAATCCATTTCAAAGCTGGAGGAGTTCTATTAAAAGTTTTAACATCTTAACTACTTTAAAACATTCTCAGCAGTAGAACCTGGCTATCAGTGGTTAATGAAACACCTTCACCACATAACTACACACAGTGCCTTTACACAGCACTAAGATAATTGGCTAAGTTTAACACCTAAATGTACTCTATTGATACAGGACATTAAACATTTGTGGGAAGTAAAAGGTTAAAACTGAATTTACTTTATGTTAGATTGTCTGGAAGGTTTGTGCAGATTGTAATTTGGCAGGTTACAGTGGATGAAATCAGCAGGGAACCGTTCCTACTCCAATATTCCTGTTCTCACTTTCCATCATTGCCAGCACAAGCTTTCATTCCAAAATGGTGAGGCCAGTTTGAATAAATTAAAGACTGGGAATGTGAAGCCGAACCATCTCAGGTCATGTCAGCACACCACTAAAAAAGCCAAATAAAATCTGTTTATGAGCGAGTAAGCTTGCTGGTCTGCTTGTGTGCATTTTTTGCGGAATGTGACTTTAACTGGAGCAGCCTTTGTTACTTGCTGCTGATACTGTTTGCGGATGACTGAAAGTCCTACGGCAATGTGCGTCAAAAACAAGTGGGAAAATATTCAAAGGCGAGGCGGATGTAGCTTTAAGTCACGGCTCCATAGGAAGCATAAGTGCAACGCAGCAGTGCACACGGCCCGATGAATCATACCTAGCCGTCTCGTGTTGAATTCATGAGAGGGTCATTATGTATGAAAAGGGTCAGCTAAGCATGTGAATGCGCTCTGTGTTCCCTCGATGAGCTCCAGCAAAGCACAGCAAAATAAAAAATAAAAAATATTTAGTTCAGTGATTGACCTCAACACTGTCTGCCCTGACCTAATCTATCATCTCTCTTCTGTAAATGAAAAGCTATTTTTCAGCCATCACTGACAGATTCTTGTTTATGTGGTGGCCATTTTGTGCTGAGGTGGTTTTCAATTGCTTCCAAATATTTTTCCGTCTTTGGCGTTTTGCCCAAGTTGTTCCCTGAGAGATCTCAGGCTAACAATGCAAGTAAAACCACAGAAAGTGATGAGAACCAAAACAGCCTTTAACCTCACCATGAAAGATTGAGGTCAACAAGTCAGACATAAATTTAACTAAAGAATCAGGAAAAGCATCAGATGAACACTAACATTTATTCTAGGATCGCCACTCATGGTGGCTGGATGTTGGAGTAGATCTGTTATATTAGTTCTGATTTGTTCTTTTTGCAGACTTTTGTTCATAATTATCTTGGTTGAGCCATCACCTTTTTGAACAATTATTCCCTCTGGCTTTGGATGTTGTGCAGCTGGAAGGATGTTTGTTCTTACTTTTTTACTTTTGGAATACGGTATGGCATCAAGGTATTGTTTTTGCAACCAGTAATAGCTGATTATTATTTTAAAGCTCAAACAATACCTGAAATATGACCTTAAAGAGAAGTGTAAAATAAGGCTCCATGGATGCATAGCGGAACCAAAGATCAGAGAGAGAATGAGGAAGTTCAAAGAATCTCTTCCATCAATCACAATGAGAAAGGATTATTTCCCCGACTCCAACGTCTCTCTGACCATGCGGCCAGACAAAGATTTAAGACTCCCACATACTTCATCTGAAACTGAACAGTTCCCCTCCCTCCAGTGGACTAGTTGAAGAGAAATGTCAACACTGCACTCCAAGTGCATTTCTGTATAAAACTCAACAACAAACTTCTGACCAATCACATGATGCTTTGCGCAGATTTCCGTCAAAAAAGACAATTTTTGTAGCATGTCACCATCAATGAGGGCCGATTTTGGCATGAAGCATGTGGGAACCTTTAAAGAAATGCAGTAAAAGCAAGTGAGGCTGATTAGCAATGCTTGCCAACAACTGGTGGTGTGATCAAGGACAAGTAATATCGTCTCTGCACAATGTTTGAGCAACAGTATCTTCAGTCAGAGGAATATTCAGATTTGTTGCAAGCCTGACTGCTACCAGAGACCTTTTCTGCCCACAGAACAACTCTTTAGAGACACTTGGATGTTATGAGTTACAGCAACACTTAAAATCCCTCTGGGACAAATAAAGTATTTTCAATTGGATAAAAGTAGTAGTAATAAAAACCTAGTTGTTTTACATTTTGGCTTTAGGTGGGTTTCTCAGTGGAGTTGCTGAACTTTGAACAGAGTAAGTCTAACAATTCCCCCTGCTTGTTGATGTTGAGATAATGTTTGTACCCTCTGGCTCCAGCCCAAAGAGTGATTCAAATCTTCCAATGCAGCTCTTGGCTTAAATATAAGTTTCTGTGAAAAAAGAGAAGAAGAAGCCTGTCCTTTTTCTGGTTAGTTTTTTGTTTTAAAGCTGTGGATTGAAAGGTGAGCTTAATACTATCCTGGTCCAAAGGCAATAATAATAATAATGGTAAACATGAACCCACCCGGCCTTAATAAGCTGTTCATGGCTTAATTATGTCTAAATGTCGGCCTGGAGAGGGCTGAATTAGATTAGTTATGTATAAATCTTAATGATCCCACTTGAGAATAAACACAGAGGAAAATACTGGTAAAACACATAAGGAAAAAATTATTTTCCAGCATTCATATACAAATAAGACTGTGCATCAATAAATACGAGCCTCAATTCAAACATCAACAAGGAGCAAAACAAGTCAGACCTTCTGGCATTACAAATATTTGTGATGGAAAAGCTGCTTCTCTGAGCTGCTCGCCGACTTGGTAAAAAGGTCTTCAAAGTTTTAAAAGTATAAAGTTGCTTTATAACAAATAAGTAAAACAACTAAAATAAAGGTTAAAATTCCTGTTGATATGACCAACAAAATTGAAACAATGCTGATTTTCAGGCTTTTTAAAACATGAATGAGGACAGAAAGCTGAAAAAGCATGATGAGAGACTGTTATGTTTTAATGGAGGATTTAATAACCATCTAAACATGTAAGTAAACAGTAAATCACATGGATACACTGCACTGAAATCTGTTTGGTTCAAGGGAGACTGCAATAAATGTGAAAGTGGTCTTGTAAAAGGAAGCGTCCGATAAAAGAAATTCAGAAACAAAGTGTGTACAGTTATGAAACCCACTACCTGCTCCCTTGTGTTCCCACGTTTTACCTCGATAATGTCGGCATTGGTCCGGCTCTCGTGTGGCTCGTTGTACTCTGTGTACTTGAGCAGGACCTTGTCCATGTCGGTGCTGGCGTACTGAAACAGCTTGTTCGAGTGGTTGAAGATGATGAGAGCGATCTCGCAGTCGCACAGGACACTCAACTCGTACGCCTTCTTCATCAAACCGAACTTCCGTTTGGTGAATGTCACCTGGTGGAGGAAAATAAAAGGAAAAGAAAGTGAAAATTAAACTATTTAATACAACATACAACAGTTTCATGTTCATAAAAGGAGATTTTAGCTGCAGCCATTTTCTATTTAAAACCAAATAAAATATAACGACTCTAAATCAAACATTTCATTTATTTCTTGTTTTCCTTAAAAGGCCCACTTGGCCCAATCAATCAGTGAAACCACTGAATCCCACCTAAAAGCTCTTGGTGCAGTTACAGAAGAACGGTCAGTGCAGTAAGATCTTAAACTGTTCCATACTGGCTCATTGTTGCAAAGGAAAATTAAGCTCTAGCTCAGAACTTTCTGGTTCGGTTTCTTGTTGTTGTTGGCCAGTAAGTGCCAGAACTCTCCACATTAACTGTTTTTACTACCTCAGGGCACCGAGGTGATGCTGGAAGAAAGTTAATTCTGTCTTCTGTGGAACCATCTCTGAGCTGATTTGGTCATATGTTCATGGATCAATACCTCATTAAAACCTAATAATAAAACTTGTTTTAATTTTAAGCTACCTGATTGTTATTTTTAATAGTATTTTAAAGGCGTGATGATGCACTTCACAAAGTGTTTAGGGCCTTTGTGAAAAATGCCACAACTGGCCCATGAAATCATAGATTCTCCACTATACATAATAATCAGCATAAAATGTTCCTCTTTGCTGTAGATCTCCAGCAGTGAGCTTGAGGAATATTTATTATTTTACCTCCCCCACCATCCTCTTCACTCTGCAGGGTGGGAAAATAAACACTGATCCTCATCCAGTCTGCTTTTTACAGTTTCAGATGTTCAAAAAATAAATAAATAAATAAATTACTACTCTTACTGAGGATGTTTCAGTGAGACACTTTATCCATGGCCTGACTTACAGTTTTAATATCAATCTACAGAACTACTCTACTTGTATGTCAAGTACCCTTTTCATGCGTTTCCCATTTTGAGAAGTTGCCAAGCCCTCACATTCTTTAAAAAAAACTCTTAGTATGGGCTAATTTTCATTGTAAAATAAATGTTACCAAATAAGGTTGAATTTTCTTAAAAATATATAGTCTTTAAATATGTGAAATATATTTTGAGGACAGGTAAGTTTGGCAATAAGTGTGAAGGTTATGAAATATTTGAACCCTTAAGTGGCTAAGTTTTTTTGCAGTAATATAAAAAACATGTTTTTGCAGACAAAAAGATGTTAAAAAACCTAGAACTTGTTAATGTGAATATAATACATGGAATACACAGCTTTTGGTATTTAGTTTCCAAATTAGGGGAATTAAGCATAATTGAGTTAGATAATAGTAAAATGTTTCCTTTGTATGTGTAGAATCAATATTAACCCTCTTTGGTGGGATACACATACCACCTTGACTGCATTTTGACAGTTTGAGGCAAATTCACAACAATAGTCTAAAAATGATTAAAACTGAATGTGTGGGGAAATATTTTAAATGATCCAAATGTGACATCTTACAAAGGTCTTTGAAGTCATCCTAGTGGTTTGTTGGTCTTTGTCTCCAGGGGGAAAGGTTTAGGTGGGAGAAAAAAAAAAAAAAAAAAAAGATTTTACATTATGTTTTTACGCTAAAACAATAAGGAATATATTAAAATGCAATTATGTCATGTTATCACATCGACGTTGACATGTAATGAGAAAAACTGAAAACCTGATGCCAAGGTGATCAAACAAGTAGCAGACAGACAGAATGCCAGCAATGTCTACTATCCAGGCATTTTTAGGCCTTATCACGGATCTGTGTGTAGTAATAGGTTTCAGTTGTATGACCTCAAAGCATCCCTCTGTTTTTGCCAAAATACAAAAAAAAATAAAATACTTTTTATCCAAAATGCAGAGCTTTTTACCCTGAGGCTGATATTCATATCATCTTAAACCAGAGCTGCTCAAAAGAGTTCATCTTCACTAAAACAATAATCAAGACTCCAATCACCGTTTCATCACTATGCAGGTACACAGTGTGGGAAATGTACAGGATTGAGACATTTAATTAATGGGAAAGACAGGCTCTTTTTTTCATGTCCTCAGTTTTTACTTGCACACACAGTGGCTTTCACTTCCCGTCACATTCACCCTCCCCGTCATTTTCACACTCTGTTATGCTCTTTTCCATGCTCTCTTTCTATGTCACACATGCTCTCATGCCTTCTTTTCCACACTCTCCTTCTGTCACACATTATTCCTCTCTTTCAAGCAGAAACACACACACAGACTTTCTCTTCCACAAGCCCCCTCAGTTGTGAACATGCCGAACAGAACTGGAAGTGTTGCTGAAGCACAGGGTCCCTTGTTGTCTGCTGATTGGCTTTGGAAGTGCTTCTCTGCTTTAACCAACTGGTATTTACAATCCGGGGAGATTTGGCTTTGTTTGGATTAAACACGCAGGATTGCACAAAAACAAACACACTGAGTAAAAAGATTAGCAAGAGGGAAAAAGGCTTCAGGTATGGCTACAGTTTTATGCTGTTTGATGTGAGGAAAATCAGAGTGAAAGTAAAATCTGTCCACAGATGGAGTAAAACAGGACAGGGAAGTTTTCAAAGACGCAGCATGTTCAGGCCACACCCACAGGTGACATAATATTTTCCATCAGACATAAAAGTCAAAAACAAGTTGTGATGTCTCTGCCTGAGGTTACGACCTGAAAAGCAGGAGGTTAACAAGTTGGGCTTGAAACATTTGTTTTCTGGGAACCAAATTTAACATAAATCTCTAGTTTTTGTATGAGGGAAGCTACTTCCAGGATTTTTTTTTTTTTTTAATAAACCTATGATTTTATATTAATTCTTCAACAATTTATCCATGACATGGTGGCCGTTTCATTCTGAATAATTTGGGGTAAAAATATAATTATAATAATCTTCTCTTTCAAGCAGTATCCAACTTTACAGTTACATACTTGTTACTTACTGATAAACTAGTGAACCTTTTGATGCTTCATCGTTAAAAAATACTAACATCCATCTTCTCCACCCTTTGGGCTCATTATCTGCGCCATAGAAAAGAATGGTGCTCCTGGATTGGCTGCTTTACAAAAAGCCAGTCAATAGCACACCTGTATTTTCTTTCAAATATTTTAGAAGTTGCTTTAAAAAGAAAACTGAACATGTGTCAATTTTTTCAAAAACATTTTGGTGTCATATTCAACAGAAAAATCTGCAAATACTGACCCATGAATTTACAAGGGTTCACCTAATTACTTCCTAGTGAACATGTTAGGAAAACATAATTTCACAATTAGTTAGCATTTTGGATAATAGTAAAGGGTTAGTTGGTTCATGTTAGATTGACTATTAATTACTAATGAGCAAATAAACCTTGTTAGGAAATCCTTTTCATCATCAGTTAATTCCTGTCTCTTGATATTCTTGACCTTTACAGTTTAAAAGCCTCATTATTAGTGATCAATAATGATTCCTTCATTTGTAGTTAGTTAACTATTACCTAATTTTAAGTACAAAAAAGTGGGAGAAGACTGTTAATAAATAAATGGCTTTAGATAAACTAAGAACAGATTTTCAGTTAGGTAACAATATCATTAGATTCATTATGAAAATGCATTTTTCTGTGGAGAACTGTTGCATTACAAGAAGGTTGTGGTTTGAATCTTGGCCTTGGACGGATGTTTCTGTGGCCTTTAGTAGAAAGTGTTCTCATGTTTTTTTGTAACAGTTTTAACAAGATAAAAAAAAAATACTTCTCTCACTTCCATTTTGCAATAATTTTGTGTTCTTTAGTTTCCAACAGTGAAAGTTCCTCCTTCTCTTAAAGAAGGCCTGAACAACAGATCTTTAAAAGTCTGATCAGAAGCCAAAGTACTTATTCAAGAAGCATCAATGCATGACGTGTCACTGTGTTTGGGTAGCAGCTTTAACAATGACAGAAACAGATATTAAATAGTTATCATTCTGATGTTTGCCATCACCAATAGACTCCAAGGCCAGTGAGGTCCTTTCTTCCACTGCACCACAGTTACAGCACTAAATGAACCACTATGGTGATATCAGTCTGCCTGCACCGACACACACTGCCATCCTGGAACAATAGTTCTGAAGTGAAACTGTAATTGAAATTAATTGAATATGGAGAGAAAGAAGAAAAGTGCAAACAAGATATGATCACTGAGGATGAGAGAAGCCATGTGAGACCTTCAGTCTCTCCATCTTCCTCCCCCTGTGATCCCTCCATCCCTCCGTCTCGTGCTCCTTCCTGCCTCAGCACCTGACATGTTTAAGCCGCTTGTCTCTTTTGCTCCTCTTATTTCCTCGCCCTCGTTTTCTCTTCCTCTCCTCTGTCAGTATTTTCCACATCCTCTGCACCCCCCCACCCACCCTCCTTTTCGTGTTAGCTCACTCATTGCTTCCTGCTGCCACAAATCAAATTATATCGGGGTCGTATCCACGGGCAACCGACTCTCTCCTCCCGTCTGCCCCACTCATTTCCCACCTCATCACACATTGCTACCATCATCTTACCTCTCTCGCCCCCCTACTGTGTCATCTTTATCTTTCTACCCATCTACATATGCCCCCCCTTTCCTCTTCCTTTCTCTCTCTCTTGCTCGCTCGCTCTTACACAGAAGGAGTAGATAAATTATGTGGCGAAGCTGGAAACGAAGGAAATTACGGCTCTGCAGGATGACAAGAATGGCTGGTGATGAAGAGACAAGCCGCCGCAAACAACAACCGCTCCCCTAACAAATTATAAGGTCACCCACCAGCATAGAAAACAAACAAAATTAGTCACAACATCCCAGCAAAAGTCATTGTTTCTCTGTTCACTTTTTCTTCTAGAGGAAAGTGGGCAGGATGGTAGTGACTTTGGGCCTAATCTTCAGTCCTGATGTTCACCACAAAGACTAAACAAGCTGGAGGTAATTGACATTAAGAGCAAAATAGCGAGGTAACCAATAGCAACTGAAGAATAAGACATCAATAGTGAGAAAAGAGAGGAGAGAAAGGGAGGTAGAGGTTTGATGTGTGTGTGT